TCCACTACCTACTTCCTTACTCACAGTTTAACAGCCAGTCATGGCTGCAGGTGAAACTATGTTTATCGCACAGATGAAGGAAATTGATTCCCTTCTTGCTTTAAAATGTTATGAAGAGTGAAAAAATAATAGGGTAGAAAAGAAGTAGAAGTAAAGGTTGCAGGAGGATTACATCAGCCCTTTGGATGTTTCACTGTAGAGCACTTGAGGGCTGTTTTGATCACTACATGTGAGAAGAAGCAATGAATTAAATATTAACATAGACAAAAAAAGGGGGGACTTAAAAATGCAAATATCTCTGAATTTTTGTTAGAAAATAAATATCCTGCATGAATGAAATACACATAGAATTTCAAAACAGTGAGAACCTCCTTGGTTCTCACTGTTGGTTCTCACTGTTGGTAGAATGTGCAGTGCATCAGAATCAGTAAAATGCGAAGAAGAGATTATTAGATTAGTAAATTTCTATTTTATTAATTAAGGACAATTTCAGCACAAAGCTGCCTCCTTAAATACAGATGCTAATTGCTGCTTCATATGCTCTTCACACACACAAAAAATCTATGACTGCAGTGTGTGACCCGCCCAAATCTATAATACAACTTATTCAGTGTGTGCTTATTTAGTGAAGTGAAACTTGAGTTTTTAAATCTCTCCATCATTGCACCAAGTCAAGAAAAAAAAAATCTATGTTTTTAACTTTGATGATAACTTTGTCTGTGCAGATTAGTAGTCATGGTGGAGCTGGTTACAAAGCAAGATGAGCTTCAGTTCTGTGTTGCAAAGAATATTCTAGAAATAGCATAGACTTAAGCTAATATGTTGTTGCACTAATTTTTTTTCAATTAAAGGATGCTACATGCAGTGTATATGACAGAGAGATAGATCTGCTTGTGTTTAAGCAGCACGTTTGGGGCTGAATCAGCCAGGCAAGTCTTTCAACCTGGCTTTTTTTTATTTTTATTCTTTTTTTTAGAGATTGAAGATGTTCCAGGACTAAAAAAAACAAAAACAAATGTGGATGCGTGGCCGCCTGTTGGCAACTGAAGTGAGCTGTTAATGTTTTCTCACTCTCACCATATGCTGCAGCTGACAGTAGGATCGTCTCCGATGTGTGTTAATCTCTGAGGATGTACAGTATGGTGTGAAATGTTGTGGGTTCAAGTGGTGAATGTGAACAGATTGTGAACGCCCACATGATTCATCCATCCATCCATCCATCCATCCATCCATCCATCCATCCATCCATCCATCTGCATCCTTTGGGATGAATCTCTTTGCCTTGTGAGAAAGAAACAAATCTTCCAGAAATTCTGGAGTAAATCAGAAGTGATGGCTGCTGCAATTCTGGGTTCATCTGTCTCTCCACTTGTGTCTAAATCAGTCTCATCACATAATGGGCAGAGCAGCGCTCCAGACTGAGCTCTGTTACGTTACACATGAATCAGGGTAATGATGGCAGGAAATATAAAGGCAACGGCTCTGCCTGTGTGTTTGTTTTTGTATCTCAATCTGGAGAGAATTAAAGGAAAGGCTGATGAACAATTTCAAATAAAAACCCTAACTCTGTTGAACCACCTCAAATATAATCAGAGATTCATGGGTGCAGAACCGTGCAAGAGTTTGAAACGGGTATAATATGGAAAGCCTGAAGTGTGAAGCTTCAGACGACGCCTGTCACAGGTGTCAACGCTCAGGTGACATGTTTTAAAAGAAAACGTGGCGTGACAGCACAGGGGTTTGTTTGGTGAGTAGTACCAGCAGATTTCTCACTCCAAGAGTACAAGGATGAATATGACAGTGTATAATTGGGAACAATGTCAATCAGGAGTTCACAAAGGTCATGTTCAATGTGCAAATAGGAGTGTGTTGCTTCGTTATGAGAATCGCTCGCACACTCATAGTGGGAGGTTTGTTGTTGTTTTGGCCTGATGCAGGATTTTCACCGGCTTGTTTTTTTGCAGATGTGACATGCCCTGACATGCTGTCTGGCTACACTGCAACTTACTTTCAGTGTGTTTGTGTGTGTGTGAGTGCACTACCTAAACTGCTGGTGTATGTTTAAGTTCCTGTCATGCAGCAGGATGAAATTCCAACAAAGTAGTTCTGAAAAGACTCTCCTCTCTCTCCTACTGTTTGTCATCTGTTGGTTTCTCAGCCTCCTTTTCACTTTCACCAGCTCTCTGTAAAAAAAAAGAAAAACAAAATACACACACACACACATTGTGTGTGTTAAAGTCAGTGACAGTAGGCAGTGGCCACGTCAGCAGTGATTGGCTGATTAAACAACCTCAGTGTGGTCACCTTCTGGACTAATGATGTGAACATCTGTTGTCAACAAGATCTGCTTCATTCATTGACTATTAATCATCATAGCATTAATAAAGTTGGCTTCACGCACATAAAGTTATACATAAATACATATACACATATATATAAAAGAGTGTGTGAGAGAGAAAGATCATTTTGTGCTTTCTAGGCTAACCTTTTTCTTTTAGTTTTAAAGTTGTTTTTACTGACGTATCTTCTTTTTTTCATCTGTTCATCAATTATTTGCCACCTCACAAAGGCTAGTTTTCACTTTTAACTTGGATATTTCTGTCACTGAATTCTTCTCTAGGTCTAGCATCTCTAGCTAAAATTTTTCAGTGATCTACAGTATATCGAGCTATTGTCTGTTTTACAGATCTTGCTATAATTTATACTTTTGTTTATTTGTTTGTTTTTGTCCTCATATCAGCTATCTAAATCTTCTGCTTTTACTTTTTTTCCTAGGCTTCTGAATTGTTGTCATTATTATTAGTTGTTTATGAGGTTAAATATTATAAAAGAGAGAACCATGAAAAACCTCTTTTTTATGAGAACCTTATCTTGAATTTTGGGAAGGGAGATAAAAAGATGACGATTAAAAAGTTTGTTGCCGATGTTCTTTTCAGTGTGTGCAGTCACTTGAGCTGACAGATAATTAGGCATCACAAAAATCCTCCTCCCTCTCTGATCAAAGGTTGCAGATGGCAGCGTTGACAGTTTATGTATGCATGCTTTTTCTCTGTGTGAGAGAGCGAGACTGAGAGAGACAAAGACAAAGACAGAGACATGCACTTTCTTTGACTTTGAGCAGAGATTCAAAGCCTATTTAACATCAAACCAATCCTTTATTCTCCAGAATTGTTATCCCCAAACCATTTCACCTCAAAGGCTCTTCCTGCTGCAGGTACGAAGATGGATGAGGAATCCCAAGGTGAATGTGGACAAGGCCCAGGGAAAAGGACTGCTCTACCCCTGTCCAAAATGTCCGCTGGCTGAGGACCTGTGGTACACACACATCCCATCACCTTATGGCTGCTGTCACTACGCCAACCAGCTTGGTGGCCACTACTACCAACAGGAGCCATGCTCGCCGTGCCCTGCCAGTGGCCAGACCAGTGGTCACGATAAAAGCAAGGGCTGTAAGGTAAAGTGGAAAGTTTATAGTTTATATAAAGTTGATGATGATAAAAACAGAGGTTTCAAACAAACTATTTAGACCTCTGAATCCTTTCCTAGCTATGTAATAAAAGGTGATTTTGTGTCTCCTTGTCTGAGAAACTCAGAGAAGAACCAATGTTTCCACATGTTGCTGACAGAACCTGAAGTTTGACATAAAATGTACTGTAACAATGTAGACATTAGGAAATAGGTCAACATCTCCTCTGCTCGGAGTAAGACACCCCTCCATCTCCCTGCATCCCACACCTCCTACTCCTACCATCTCCTCACCACAGGTGCACCTCCTAACACTTTCCATAACAGTGGAGTCGTTCTGCCAGCCTCCCTCTGTTTGCCCATTAGAGCTCCGTGAAATAAATCGAGTACAAATGTGACAGTAGACGTTATTTGGTTTGTCCCCACACTCCCCTTAAGCTTTACCTCTCTTTTATTATGCAACATAAACAGCAAAACTACAAGGGCATTTTTTTAAAGGCTGCTCGCCACACACTCTGAAATAGAGAGAAGAGAGAATCAGCTGAGGATTAAAAAAAAAAAAAAAACGGGAGTAAAAACAATGTAAAAATAAACGGCACTGGAAGTGGGTAACCTAAAAAATGACAACAAACTTTAAGAATCAGGACGCGGGATTTGATTTACAACCATCAACCAGTCAATAATACAATCTGACGAGTTATTAATTCTCAAAAAGTAAGTATTTTTTTAAAACTCTGTGAACCAAAAGACAACAGGAGTAAATATGTTACATCTGACAGTAGAAATGTGAGAGTAACACTAACAGTCTGCTATCCTAACTGGTGGTGCAACATTTCTAACAAACCACAGAGCATTACAGAGGAATTCAGCTTCATATGTTTGAAGCAGGCAACACCTCTGTGGTTATTCCCTATAATATTCTGGAGCTCATTTGTCCTTGTTTTTGATGGTTGTAAAACAAGAACGACATTTGTTTAAAGCAAACAACAAAGCAACCAAAAAAAAAAAAAAAAGACATAGCTAAGTATTTTAAGGCAAATGAGTGTATTTTTAGTTAATTTTGAGAAACTTTTATTTTTGAAGACTTTTTCAGGAACTTATTGGTATAGTATTTTACAGGCAAACACACACAAACACACACAAACACACACACATGCATGTCATTTCAGGTGTCCAAGTTGTCCTTGGTTATGCAACTGCAGTCACAATAGCTCTTCCACTCCTTTCCCCTTGTTGATATGTGTGAGTGTGTGTGTGTTTGTGTGTGTGTACTTTCACATGTGTGTTTTTCCAGTCCCAAACTGCCATCAGCAAGGAATGAGTCATCCTTGTCCCAGTATGACAGTGCTAAACCATTCTCTGTGTGTTTGCTCGTGTGTGTGTGTGTGCATGGACAAATCAACATGGGTCTGTGTGCTGTAGGAAAACGAAGCAGACACGACAGCGTGCTGTAGTTTTCTCATTACTTTTCCCTCCAGCTCCTCATTTTCTTCTAAAATTTTTCTTTCAGTCTCTGGTTTCCTTCCTGGCTTCTCTATCTGTCCATCAATTTCACCTCCTGCCCTTTCGACCAACAGATCTGTCACTAATGTCTCAGTGGAGGAACCAAGCAGCATGTGTGTGTGTGTGTGTTTGTGTGTGTGTGTGCGTGTGTGTGTGTGTGTGTGGGGAGAGAGAGAAAATGAAATGTGTGCTGTGATGTTGGAGGTTAAGGTAGAGGGGATATGGTGGTGTGTGTGTGTGTGGG